TGGTCTCTTGATAGCGTTGCTGGCACTGTGATCCAAATGCTCAACTAGGCAAAGTTCCTCCCTGGAACAATCAATGCAGGGGTTGGTCAGAGTGGACACTGATCCAGAGCACAGGCTGCAGTGGATCTTAAGAGAACTGGTTCTCTCCAAGGCCAGGGAAGATGTCTGGACACCAGATATTTGTTTCAAATAATTGACACCTTTTCATCACTGTCCTTTTACTACCGTCTCCACGAAGGATTTTTTTTTTTTTTTAAGTTATTCAGATGTGGGCTGGTGCTGGAGCTCAGTGGTAGAGGACTTGCCTAGCATGCATTAGACCCTGGGTTCCATCCCAAGTTGATCCCCCTCGTTCTGGGGCTTCAGCCTCTCTTGGACTGCACAGCTACTCACTCTTCCTCCAACCTGCAGGTGACTACTGTGGACTATCCAGCTTCTGGTCGTGTTAGCCAACCTAATAAGCTCCCCTTTTAATAATTATGCTTCCTGGGGCTGGGGCTGAGTGGTTGTGCACTTGCCTGGCGTGTGAGAGGCACTGGGTTTGATTCTCAGCACCACATAAATAAAAATAATGGTCTACCAACAACCAAAAAAATTAAATATGTAAAAAAAAATATTATACTTCCTGTTGATTCCGTTCCTGTAGAGAGCACCGACTAATACAGTGGGTGAACTGCAGATGCACGATGCTAATCAAGGAGGCCCACTCCAAGGGCTGTAAGCCACGGGATTCCATTCCCATGACTTCCAGGAAATACAAAACTATAGGACAGAAAAAGATCAGTGGTTTCCAAGGGCTAAAGGAAAAGAAATGACTGACAAGGGATACGAGGGAATTCTGAGGTAAAAGAACTACTCCATAGTTTGTTAAAACTGATAAACTGCATTTTTAACAGTGAGTTACATTATTATGAATTATCTCAATAAATATAATTTTTTTTTAAAAGTAACGATCTGTCCCTCAGATACGTCCTCCAGGAAGGTGAATACGAATGTCACATGTGAGGTGCCACTCAGGATGGGGCTCTGGGTGGCACTGCGCTTTCACCAAGAGCCCAACCAGCTCTGATGGGGTGCTAGAAATAGAACCCACTTAGGGATTCTAACAGAAAGGAACGTGATACGGTGCTTACATAATCACTGAAAGGGATGGAGAAGCCAGGGGTCCCCTAGAGTTTTAAATTCAAGGACACATCATTGTGGACAGCTATTAGGAAGCTCCAACAACAGCCAACATAGCAGCTTCTCACACCCAGGCAGGTGAGACTCCGCCCCCAGAGCAATGCGTCTGGCCACCACATCATCTCTGAATACTCAGGCCTCCGGGACCTTGTCTGCCAGCAGCACCAGCAGAAGGAACTTGGTCTTACAGTTAGAAACCCTCTCACTGTAAGAAAGTCAGGGACGTGGGGTTGTTAGGTTTCCAAACCCTCCAATCAAGAGGGTGGAAAGATCGGCATACTATAGTGATGCAGCTATATCAGTGTTTATAGCCACTTAATTCATAATAGTTAAGCTATGGAGCCAATCTAGGTGCCCTTCAACAGATGAATGGATAAAAAAAAAATGTAGTGCACACGCACAATGAAATATTACTCAGCCATAAAGAAATTATGGCATTTACCAGTAAATGAATGGAACTGGAAAATATCATGCTAAGTGAAATAAACCAATCCCAAAAAACCAAAGGTTGAATTTCTGATAAGCAGATGCTAACACAATAGAGAGGGAGGGAAGTATAGAAGTTCACTGGATTAGACAAAGGGGAAAAAA